TAGTAGTAGTAGGCGTCGTCGTCGTGGTGGTGGTAGACCATCACTTCGGTCGTTCATAGTAGTGAGGTGGATGTGAAAGGTTCAAGATCTGCCCCCTGCACGAACAGGATCGCTGTTGGCCAGACAGGGCCCTGAGTCTGGGGCACAACCACTGGGCAATACCGCGTTCAAGTGGCAGAGTGCCTAAATCCTGGCGGCTTGGTGAGCGAGCTTGACACAGGCAGCAATCATGCGCATAGGTGGCCGCCCTTGCTCTGAAGGCACATCTGCACAGACTGCGTTTTTGAAAATGTTTTGAGCAGCCGTTGAAAAGCTGAACTGATCGGTAGCCGTAGTCTTCACAGGATCTTACGGCATGCCTGGCGCACCTTATGTTGTGCCCAATGCTGAGCATGCTAGCATTTGAATCTTTGAACTGATGCGTCCTTGCACGAACGGCAGCAGAGGCATTTTTGGTTTGAAATAGGTACCGAGTAGCTGAACATGTCCGGCGATGCCAAAGATGGCATTGCCCTGCTTGCGCGGGTCGCAGAAGCCTGGAGAGGTTGCAGGTGCGGGTTGTGGTGTCTCAACTTCTAAACCCTCTCTTGCCAAGTCTGACAAATGCTTCCCTTTTTGCGGAAGTTTGGCTCTTGTATTGCAGCTACCACGAGGGAGCTTATCCGGAAACATCTTGATGAAGACCCAGGCACACGGACATGATCTGTCCAGGGAGCTGCGTTTCTCATTCCAAAACGCTGTGCCAAGTCTTTTGCCGGACGACCTGAGATGGTTTGTTTTGTACTCGTAGTTTTCGTGCTTGGCCGGGGCCATTTTCTGATTCTGGCAACTAGATCGACAACAGGTCCTAGGTTCTCAGCATGCATGAGGCTGCGTCCGGGAGACTTGGGGACAACATAGAACAGAAGATACCGACCAGGCAGCAAGCAGGAAAAGACAAGGTGCGATGTGGTCGCAGTGGAGGCACATTAGTGCAGGGACTTCTCAACCGGCAAGAACGGCCCTCACCAACAACTCTGGCAGCTTTGGTTTTCTAGTGCTTGTAGTTGTCATCGTGTGCCGATTTCGCCGTCTGCGCTGTCCTGCTAACGTTTACTTGTTCAATGTTTGGTACTTCTGAAGTTTCGTGCGCATCTCCCAACACTGTGGCAACGATGCGTTCTTCTGCCAGGTGTGTTTGCATCCTCCTCCTTTGTTGTGTTTGTATTCTTCTTGGGAACCCTTAGGGGATTCTGTTGGAAGGGCTGTTGGGTATGTCCGGCTGGAACTGGGTGGACTTTCATTATTTCGGCTCTGCACTAGTGCAACTTCCGTTACTAGACTCAAAATTGTCCCACTTCCTCTTTTGGCAGGCAGGTGATTCATGATCATTGCTGCAGCAATCCTCACGTCCTAGGAACAACGCAGTCACTCCTTTTTGTGGTCGACTGCGCGCACGGCATGCCTTCCCGCTTGGGCTTGTTGCCGTGCTCTCTTAGTTGCCGGCGTACTGGTGAGTATGAGTATGGATGCTTGGTCGACAATACGAGTAGAACACTGAGCTCAACCGGTCGATTGACACGTTTGCTTATTCACGGGCAAGCACAAGATCAGGACTTCAGACAAGCGCTCTTGTGCTGCCGCAGTGGTTGTCCAGGCTCATCGAGCAATCGGAAATGTAGCCATTCGATTTCAGAGGGCCTCGCAAGCCTCCTGCAGGCCACCATGTATTAAGAATGATTGTACGCATGAGGTATGGCAGCTTGCAGCCCGTCCCCACATCTCGACTTGTGCAAGCAGCCAAGCACTCTTTGTAGGTCGGAGTTGCTGACCTTGATGATGCAGGCAGGGCCGCTCCTGAACGGCAGATGGTTCCACAGGCAACATGAAGTGCATCACATGGATGACAGATGGGCTAATCACAGCCTGCAGCTTCTGTGTGCTGTTTGTGCCGATGCTTTTCACAGCGCGGTCTGTAAGACGGCAGCCTTCAGGCTGCTGCAGGAACGGCCGCAAGTCTTGCTTAGTGGCACCTGGTATAGCGGCTGGCAGCACCCGGTTAAGTGCTACATGCCCCAACAACCTAGCCGTGACATCCGCACCTGCACCGCAGACAGCTGATTCATTCAGTTGCCTAGCTCTCCCTTGCCATGCGCCTTTCTCGTCGAAGCCGGCGACTGCGGTGCTGGGTGTGCATTCCATCACGGCGGCTAGGCCGCGCCAGACGCTGCTGGAGCTTTGGTATCCCAAACGTGACCTAACGTCTGTAGCGAATCGGCGATCGAATTGAACCTACAGCCTCACGGAATGGGTGACCTTCACCAAGTACATCCACCACCTGTGGCAGAGACGACAGCCCAGGCGCCTCGCAGGGCAGCAAAGATGGAAGAAGAGGCCTGCCGGACGGGTATGAGGGGCATTTCATGTAAGGAAGCCGTTTGGCTAATTAATGACCTGTGCTGACGCTGCACCTGAGAAGGCCACACCAGTGCGAGGATGCGGAAATTGACCCGCACGACGATGGGGATCAGGACGGGGTCAGTCAAGAAGTGTTCTTCGATGATTTTGCGAGCTGCTTCTTAATTTATCGCCTCATTCGCATCCTTCGAAGTGCAGGGGTATGGGTCGTTGCAAACTCACTAGCGGGGACGCCGTCCACAGCACGGACAGCAAACGGTTTCAGAGGCTCACAGAGCCGTTGGAGCGAAGCGTTTAACTCCGGAAAGAGAATCGTGGTGGACAGCTTCTGACTTTCCAAGGCAGAAACGCGATTACATCGTCGTGTTTCGCTGATAGGCTTGCTCGCGATGACTTGGTGTCTTCGGGTGCCAGAGTTTTCCCAGCGTGCTGTGTGCCAGGAGCAGGAGATGCCCTTCTGGGTCGATTGCTCTCCAGACGATTCGCTCATCCCATTGCCCATCTATGTCCCGCGGTCAGACAGGAGTCTTTGAGCGATTCTACTGATCAGTGGGGGTTCGTCGACTCACTTCCAGAAGCCACGTCCTGTCAGCTTAGGGATTTTGTGCCCGAGGCACCGGCACCTGTGCAAGCAATCGATGGCCCTAGACTCAGACACCAGCATGTGATGTCACATGCCACCAGTTCTCAAACGTTTGCAACGTGGCCCTCAGGTGAAGCACCCAAGCTATCAGCTGCCTTGGTGCAGGACCTTGGACCAGTCCAGCCTGGGCATCTGTGAGTCGTACAAAGAGGTGCAACAAAAATGTTACGCAGAGGACTCCAACGCGGAGGACGCATTGCAGCCACAAGCCGCCACTGCCAAGCAGGGTGTGGCGGAGCGGCCAGACCCGAATTGGCTCAGTTGTTAGGCCGTAGTGCCGTAGTAGCTCTACGCGGTGCAGCAGAATAGGTCCTAGACTTGTTTTGGAGCATGCTAAGCTGCATGCTGGTGTGTTGCATGCTCCAATGCGTTCTGTACACCCGACTCTGATGCAACAGACCTCCTTAGCCTTGATCTCATCCTGTTTAATGTCGGCTCGCTCGGACTTGTCCGAGTGTGAGTGTCAAAAAACCGTCGTCTCGACTTTCATCGATGCTGGACCACTATTTTTCGTCTTTGAGATTTGATATTTGTGAACTCTGGGGTGAGCCTGGGTGGCACAGTTTCCCAAATCCGCATTCGAAGTCAAGCCTGGCAGTCATCTTCTTTCGAAGTGAGGTCTTCTGGCCTCGTGTTCCAGGTCGTGCCCAGCACGAGATCTGCGGAAGATTTGGCAACACCGAGTGCACCGGACGTCCGAGCTGAAGTCCTCCAGCAGGCTGGCACCGCAGCCATCCGCAGCCCGTGGCTACTCAGTAGGCTGAATGCTTTCGGATGCTTCCGGGAAGTAGCCAGAACAGGGGCACAACATTCCCAGGACGACTCGACTTTCGACTCCCTGGAGCTCTACTACCGAGAGAGCAAGTCTCGACCGGCAGAGATGCGGCGCCGGGATGTGAAGGCGTCCTTCGCTTTGAACCGCTACTATGCCCCTCGGCTCTCGCTCGGCTAGTGACGGCTCGTGCGTGCAACAGCCGGGGACATGGACTGTGGATAAGCGCACCTACTTCAGACCCTGTGATGCATCCCCAGGTCCATGGGGAGGTCTGTGGCAGCCAGCCGGAGAAAGCTCAAGCCCAGCAAAGGAAGAGCCTGATGTCGGATGATGGCTACCTCACAAAGCCATCGGACTGCAGTCTCGCCATGTCTCGCCTTGCGTTCACCATCCCCTCCTAATCCCACATCTAAGGGAGGGCGCCAAACGCTTCTGTATGGTTTGCTGCAGCAGTGGCCATCGGGCCTACGAGTGCCCCGAGACAAGGCAACTCACCGCGTGTCGCATGGTAGTGTATATCTGTCTTAGCTTTCGAGCGCTGGGATTGTCTGACACCTGCTCTTGAGGTGCTTCATTTGCTGGGAGACTGGCCACAACACCAAACATTGCCCGAGCAAGATCAAATGCGCCTTGTCCATCTTTTTGCTCATGAATGGTGCAATACGCAGGCTTTTGGATTGTGGGGGGGGGGGGGGGGGGGNNGGGGGTAACATCTTGGCCTGGGTGACGGTGTATGCGGTAATTCGCGACTTGCACAGGTGTAGAATGGTGTAGAGAGATCACATGAAGTGCTCCAAGGCAAATGGTGTAACCGCAAAGGCCACGATGAGGAGGCCAAACAGCCTGCTCGCAGGGGGACCTTGATTGCTTTGAACTTGCTCAAGGTCTGCCCAATCAGACAACTTCGAGCAGCCGAGAAGAAGCGTGAGTGGACAGAGGTGCTACTCTTAACCTCCCTGCAGGGCACGAGACACGTCGTGCTTACATCATACAGTAAAGCTTGCGAGCTTCAGGTGCGATGCCTCGTCTGTGGTGCTACAGGCGCATTCTCATTCCATGTGCCCACAGGCATGCCACCAAACCTCGTGCGATGTCCGTCTGTGCCGGGGTCGTTCCATGTTGTTGTTTGATGTTGTTTTGTTTTGTTATACTAGCAGCACTTCTAATCGAATAGGAACTGGTAGGAGCGGAGTCCGGGATGTACTGCAAGGCCACCTGGCCTGTGACGGCACTGGCAAGTGGTGGGGCGGTTCCCGCTGGGAGGAAGCTGAGGATGTTTCCGAAACTTGGCACCAAAGCAACATCAAAAAAAAGGTACTCTTTTTATCAACGGTCATGCACCATGTCTCAAAGAAAAGGACTTCATCTTCAACTTTCACCATGAGCCGGCCTCAGCCCTGTCTTAACACAAACCACAACAAGTGAGTTTTGGCTTACTGCACTGTGGCACCTCAGTCCGTGCTGAAAAAGGGAAATGATGGAAGTTTTGCCTTCGCGCGATGCCTCCTGACTGTCTGGCCTGCTGTTACCTGCCCTTGCATGAGGTTTGTAAGCAGGGAGTGCCCGTACTTCTTCGGTCTTCTACTTTGATTGCAGCTTGCCCTGCATCCTGGCGGTGCAGTCCGACGATACACGTTGCGACTCCACAGATGCGTTGAGACGTCACAATCCCGCATCGGGCATAAGAACTTTGGCACATCCGAGCTAGGCCTGCTCAAATGCTTCAGGTCCGAGCCCCGCTCGTATGTTCAAAGTCTGGGTCTGCGATTTCCTGTCTATTTCCGTCAGTGCTTCTTTCCGATCTTGAGATCTGTTGAAATACAGAAGGCCCCTGCAGCCAAAGCTAGCCCATGAGCCACACTGGTGCTGCCTTGCATACCCATAATTGCGGATCCTCGTGATGGCCTGTGTACAAATAAATATAAATATAAATAAACAAATATATATATAGATATAGATATAGATATGAACATATGTATAAACAAATAAATAAATAAGTATAAATAAATAAATAAATAAATATATATATATATATGAGCAGCCGTCAAAACTTCCGTAATTGTAGTTAAGAGTAGGGTGACTGTGGAATGTCGGATTTTACCAATATCCTTGGAAAGCGATAGGACCAAAAACCCCCAAAAGCGATACGATTAGCAAAGATCATTTGTTGTGAAAAGGCCAGTGCTGCCGCGGCATGTATGCCTTAATTTCCGTGTGATATGTGGCTAGGCACTCGGTACCCTAATCGATGCCCAATCGATACCCTTATCGATACCTACTAGTTCGTTTCGTGACCCACTGCCCATTCTGATGGAAAAGGGCAGTACAGGGCAGGCAAAGGGCAGTAAAGGACAGAAAAGGGCAGTAAAAGGGCAGGAAAGGGCAGTAAAGGGCAGTGAAGGGCAGGTAAAGGGCAGTAAACGGCAGTAGAGAGCAAGAAACGGCAGCAAAGGGCGGTAAAGGGCAGGGCAAGCTACGAGAAGGATCAGTGAGTCTGATGGTCTTCTTACTTTCACAAGAGCAAAGCGATACCTCACAGAAACATGGAACGAAATCCTTGTCAAGCGACAGGACCCCCCCAAATCATCCATGGTCTGGCCATGAATATGAAGTGTTGACGAATGCTCATATAATGTGTGCGTGTAGATACACAGATAGCTAGGTAGGTAGGTAGGCAGGCAGGCAGGCAGGCAGGTAGATAGAGGGCATGTGCTATCATGCGAAGATCACGTGAGGACGGCGAGGACGGCGCGAATGGCGAGGAACAGGTAGACCAGACCTCGAACAACGAAAGCGGCACAAAGAAGGCCTGGATGTGCGCATGCATGTTGAGGGCAAGGAAAAAGATGGCAAGAAGTCAGAAGATTCATTACCGGACATCTCCGTTTTCCATGCTTTTCAGCCCCGACCTCCCTGCAATTCCCTCGCCTTGATCCCATCCCCTCATCTCCCTTTACTCCGCCCTCTCCTCCCCGTGTGTCCCCTGCCCCCCTGATATTCTCTGGATCTACTTAAGCCATCTGGAGCCTTTCGGGACATGTATCTGTGATTACCGGTGCATATACATATGTGCATACAAGCTTTCGTTTCTTGTCATGGTTGTTGGTTGGGGAGTACTTGGCGGAAGGGATTACTACCTGCACCTGCTGTGATACATTCGGCTTCTTATGGCGACCCTGACACAACCCCATGAATGCCCTTATAGGTTCCTATGCCCTATGCACACCCATAGAAACTTGTATGAGATCCTTCCAGGCCCTGAAGATGGCGCGGCTCCTTGGCCGGCCCCAACCCGGCGCCAGCGCCACAAGCTCTGAGACCCAGAAGGAAGGCAGCGGGGAGCTTCGAAGATTCTGTGACCCCTGAACAAAGACCCAAAGTGGTAATCAAGGACGCCTACAAGCAAGGTTCCCAGCTTGGACAGCAAAGTATATGAATGGAAGACCGGAGCTGTCGAGGTGTAGGGTGTGGCCAGAGGCACGTGGGTGAGATACCGGCAGATAGATTCGATGTAACGGCACTGTGTTGAAACTGTGTTCTGTTGTGTAGGCTTCATCACGAGCTGCGAGGGAGGATGGGAACAAGTCATAATGTGTGTTCGGTGGGATGGTGTGCCCTTGCTGGTTGAGCTGTGAGGCCAGCCCACAACAAAGACGAGCAGTCGATGGAATTACCAGGAAGTGGTTTGCACGAACCAACAATGTCTTGTGCCAAGGGCTTTGTGGGTATGTGTGCACTTGTTTGTATCCTGCCGTCTTGCCGTCAGGACCGTGGCAGCTGGGACTATGGATGGCAAAGTTGGGGTCAGCAAGGCCGATGTTGGCAAAACGGGGCTGACCTGCCTGGCCTGCTGCGCATTTGCATACATGTCTTCAGTCGAGTAGATCTGCTCGGAGGCAACCGGTGGCACCAGAGCGGTCGAGAAAATGGTCGCGACTGGAAAGCTCGTCCTGCGCTGCAGAAAAAGCTTGAGAGGCAGGCTGCCTCAGTCGTGTGAGTGCACGCGCGTGCTGCACGTCCTTTTTGCAACTGGATAGCAATCCCTGCTCAGGCACAGAGGTCACAATGGTGCGGGAGCTCGGGCAGGACTGAATTCGGCTGAAGGGCCGGCTGGTTCTGCTTTCTGTCCCCATTCGAGGACCAAGACACAAGCAGAATCGCGAAACTGCGCCAGCTATGCGCATTCGCGACAAGCCGTCTGCCAGGGCAGAGAAGCGGGCTCGACAGAGGCACTGCTTGCGACAATTCAAGTCAAGTCAGGATTTGAAAATTCGTTTTCTCCGGGATCGGGCCTGTACTGCAGAAGAGTTTGAAAGGCATGAATTAGCAGGGCATAGGAATCCAGTCGCGACTTGAGACGGGACGGGCGACCGAGTTGCCATAGGGTGCCGGCGACACAAGGTTTGAATCGTGGGCTTCCCACTGCAGCACAGTCAGGTTTTGTGATTCGCTCTTTTGGTCTTCGTCTTGTAACTCGGCATCGTCGAAAAGGGTGGCCGTGTCCCGTGGCAGTCGAATCCGTGGTTACATTCTATAAGCTTTGGTGCTTGGCCAGGCGGAGACGGTGACGGACCATTGAATGAGACACTCAAGATGAAGGCCTCAAGAATCGCTGCGGTAACGAGCATATCCTTATCCGAAGCCTTATCCTAGCACTCATGACAGCAACAACCGTACCGGAAGGCGATTGCTACAGTACTGATCTTCTGCGAGGGGAAATTGAAGTCTTTCCGTTTCGAGTGCTACTAGTGGGCTAAGTGTAGGACTCATCTACGAACTTATTGTAAGTAGTCATCCTAGTCTGGAGACGGCCTCGGCATACGCATGGCGTGATGAGCTTGTTAACAGCTTCAACGAGGCATTGCTTGCCGCACAAGTGAGCCATGTCTCGTTCTATGTTATTGAAAGACAGCGACAAGACTCAAATGCCTCATGAAACATGAGCCCATGAGTTGCTGGCTTCACCGGCGCGCTGCCAGAAGCAGAAAGGACTTTATCTTATTGTTGCAACCATCGTAAACCTGCATGTCTGTGCGACTCACTTCTGCCAGTGATCAAGTTCGTGTATCGTCCCGACAGATGCGGCAGTGCATAAGAGGGCTTGCAGACACGACCGCGCATCACATGCCGGCTTTCTTCTTGGGCCCAACAGCATACTTCCCTCAGCACTCCTGCACCAGCTCAGCCATGGACTCAGGTAGGGCAGTTGAACTGGAAGCAGCGTGCCACTACCACTTCCACGACTACCAGTATCACTATCACCATCACTACCCTACCACTACCACCACCAATACTAACCCTTCTGCTAGTACCACGACGACGACTATATACTTCTACTACGAATATTACTACTAGTACTAGTACTACTATTGCTGCTGCTGCTGCTGCTACTACTACTACTACTACTACTACGACTACGACGACGACGACTACTACTAATACTACTGCATGTGGATTCAGTCGATGTCGATGGTGACGATGGTTGTGATTTTGGCAGCGAATGTTGTGATGCAGATATCGAGAGCAACACTACCAGCACTAATGCAGCGGTCGGCAGCTGTGATAGACTTCGAACTTCATGAAAAGTTTTTGATGCATGTGCAGCACGAATAACGGCAATCGGCCAAAGCATACCACAAAAGCGATGACGACACCTGCTGCTGCTGCTGCAGCTGCCTTTTGTCCAGTGCTGCACAGTTCTTGTTGCCCGGCCAAGGACTTTCAGCCCTTCACCATGGCCTCCCAGGGTGCAACGCTGCAGAACTACAACAACGAGACTCGATGTCACTTACTTCACTCGGCTGTGCATGTGCAATGGTGAGTTAATTTCTTAACATGTTTGCGCACATGTGTGGACATACTGTTTTGGGTTTGCCCTTTGCTGTACTTGTTTTTGAATGTGTAGCTGCGCTGCGGAGTCCAGATTGCAGCTGTACCAAAGGAGCTGGTGAAGTCGATTGAAGATCTCCGTGGCTCAGCTTGTGTGCTCACTGCCACGGATACTACGGCAAGAATCCTGCATTGTCGTGGTGCTTTCTCTCCAATTTGAGGTGAGAAGCGTGAAGAGCTTAACCGGCAGATTCTGAAGGCCAATGCCCGCCATCTCTCCCTCGAAAGGTCAGCCTTTGCACGCAAGTTGGTGGCCAGGAGGAAGAGGACAAAGCAAAGATCCAGAAGGAGCTTTCCATTCTGACCGACCGCATTTTAGCGGCACTTTTCATGGTGAGCAGGGGGTGTAGTCTTGACGAAACATGTTGGCCCAGAGTCTGTTGAGCACCTGGCACCTGAAGAACTTGTGTCAACAGGTAGTCGAGCAGACACTGCATGGAATGGGCTTCTAGTCGATTCTAGTCACTGCGCATTCTGTGTGCACGCAGACAAGGCTTGCAGAGGATCAACGAAAGCCTCGTTCGCAAGACACAGGCCCGAGTGGCCAGAGTTGACAGCTTCTATTTGCGAAGCATGAGCTGGAAGTTGGGATGCCTGACTGGACCATCGGATAGTGTTCCCACCGCGGCCCGCTTTGATCAAGCCCGTTAGGCCCGGAACGAGTACGACAAGACCATTCAAGAGACGGAGGCACCATTTGGGGTAGCAGGAGCAAATCCTCAGCATGCATGCGTCGTCGGGGACTGACGTTTGCTACACACTCTTCGGCGCGTCCCAGCAGTGAGTTGATGCCCCAGGATTCCTAAGCTCGGTTTGGTCTGAAGCAGATTGACATCACAGACTTGCCCCTCGCACGGTCTAGCTTGACATTCTGCAAAAAGAAAATGGTATCGTGGTGCCAGGCCGCATACATGAAGATCTTGGAGTCCTCCCAGACCCTCCTCCACGTGCTGAAGCGTGAGACAGTGAATTTGACCAAGTATTGGGCTCAGACTGACAGTTGCTTCAAGCAAGCAAAGAGAACAGCGTGAACAGCCGCAGAGAACAGCATACATGCTCTCAGGTCCCGGCCACCTTCACCACCCCCCGGCGCCCCCAAACCAGCGGTCCTGTTGACGTGACAGTCGTCGTTTTCGGAAGATGGAATTGTCACCACGAACTGCGACAAAACCACGCAAACTCAGGCAGGGAGGAGGACGACGCGACGGGCGTCTCTGTTCTAGTATCGTAACGAGCACCATAACGACGACATAACTACTAACACACGGCTGCATGGGAGGATGGGAGACCAAGCAGGAGATCAACAACCCAAGCAAGACCGCAGGACCACACCACAGGCGGGGTGGGGTCAACCAAGAAGACCACAGGCGCCACCTTAGACCATAGAAGAAGACCATCCGGGGCGGGGCTAGGGGTGGGCGGTGGGCGACAAGGCCAAGTAAGAAGATCACAGGGCACTACAATGGGGGGGGGCGGGGGGGCGGGGACGGGGAGCAGCAGCCCTGCATCATACGTGCACACCAGGAATTTCTTACTGCTATCGTTGGCTTTTTGTTTGTTGTTCTGACGCACACTGTCTTCATTCGCAATGTGCTCAATTGGAGTTGCCACTTCATTGGCATTGTCAGTTCTTTCTGGTCAGAGATCTGTGTACCGCGAGACTTCGTGGACATAAATGGCCCGTCAGGGCCCTGATAGCTTTGCTTGTCATGAAACCTGGTGGTGGACAGTAGTAAAGTTTTGACGTAGTGGTCAAAGAAGAAGAGCAGGAGCAGCAGTTGTGCCCGTGGTACTCGTGATAGTGATGGAAGAAGTAGAAGCCAAGTAGCGGTCGTTGGCAAAGTGGTAGTGCTGCAAGCTGCACCCTAAATATCGTCAGGGCCTCTCATTCTCTCTAACTGATTGCAGACATGCTAAAACACGTCGCGCTTGTCGAGCAGTTCCAGCGATCCGAGGAAGAAGGGCGAGCAATGAGGGCTTCTCTTGGCAGACGGACTTCAAGGACATTGAGGCTGCTCATGAGACAAGCAAGAAGCGTGCGGACTTTTCCAGGGAGCCCGTAACAAGCATGACAGACGGAACAGCCACAGCTGAGCAAAGCATGGTGCAGGCATGCTCGCCACGGAGTCCGCCTGAGCTGAGGTTTCACATTCTCTTTTTGCCAGCTGCCTGCCAAGGCAAAGCTACCCAGATTTCTATGGTTAACCTGCAGGGCTTCGCATCGCGGTTTGGGCACCAACCGACTGTTCCATGGCAGCTGAGCACTGAGCCTTGTCTCTACTACGGCCCAAATGGGCTGTTTGAGCTCCAGGATTTGCTCCTCAAGGTTGATGCAAGGTCCTAAAATTAAAACATCGACTATTATCGTTTGCCTCTGCTTCTCGAAGGGAAGCATCAAGCTTGGGGGGACTCAGAGTTCACTCCTACGCTGCACCAATGCGCTTTGGTGAGTTTTGCATTGCGGTGCGTGGTGCAGTGGTAGGACGACGGTCTGCATGTTGGCCCACCCATGTTGGCAAAAGGGACAGGCCTGGCAGTCGCACCCACGTCGCGCTTGATTATGCGCATTCACATGGCTTCATGGCTTGTGTGTTTCGCTCCTCGCCGCGCTTGTCCTGAATGCACGGACTTGGGATGCATAAGTGCTTGTTGCGAATTGGTTGTCGGCATATACGGCATATAACCCAAAGGTTCAAGATGCCGGTCTTGTAAGCCAGACTCTGCCTACTAATGGGCACTACTTCACTCCCGATCAAGCTACGGTCAGTCCAAGTATTCATTTGGGTGTCTGCTCGCAGGAGCAGTATAGCAGACTTGATTCTGACTTGCCTTTGTGGCCATGGCAGAGGCTGAGGGCAAAACAGAACTGGCCCATGCTTTGGAGAAGCTCCTGCGTCGGCCGCTGACCAGCGAGGACGTGTCATATGACACTTCTGAGGACATCAATGCCTTGGAGCCATCTTTTCAGTCGTCTGTGACCGTGCGACTGGAGAAGTACGAGTTCAGGAGGCAAGCTACAGGTCATTCAGCAGCCAGTTCGCAGCATAACGCTGCCATGAGCCTCTTGAAGGATTGGGCTGAAGTCGAGGCCCACGCACGCCAGGCGAACCCTGGTGCTACAGTTCCGGCAGGTACCTTGCAAGAAGCACCGGCAGCGCAGGCAAGCGAAGGGGCCGCAGCTGTGGATTCGGACGACCGGCCGGCAGACTGCAAGAGCATCCTCACGCGCCTCATGCAGAAGGTGCTAGGCCGTCCAGTGACAAAAGACGATGTGAAGTTTCAGACCGTAGAGAAGCAGGGTCAGCAGAGTCAGAACAAGCCGTTCTTCCAGTCTACGGTAATTCTGACAATAAGCGCAAACGAATGGACGGGCGTTGGAGAGACAGTCTGTGGTCCGAAGAAGACTGCGGAGCAGGACGCAGCCTGGAAAGCGTTGCAGGAATGTCCGGAGCTGAAGCCGCTCTACGAAGCGATGGTCATGGCGGCGACCGGCAGCCGGACTGTCTACCCTGCTTTGTCAAACGATGACACCACGGACATTCCGGACGTGAAGGGGGCAGGTGACGAGACTGCATACCCAAATGCCTTGTCAAATGATGACACCACGGACATTGCGGACATGACAGATGGGCTCGTGGGTGACAAGAGGATAGAGCATGAAGCTGCAAAGCCCGCGACTGTCCAAGTGGTCTCTGAGGACGCGCTGCCTGCCGCTTGTCACCAGACGGGGAGCGGGCACTGGCTGCGTGGGAGTAGCGACGATGCGACAGTCAGTGCAAGAGCGAAACTTTCACTCGTGCACGCATATCATTCCAGTATCAGGATGAGCCATTTCTAGGACTTATAATTGTAGACGACTACGAGCATCTCAGGAAGATCTCAGACTGCGCTTGGCACAGGAGGAGCAGAGACTTGAGGGGAGGGGGGGAGGGTGCATCTCTTCAAAACTGCCCGGCAACACTTCGAAGCAGTTTTTGCAATTGCAGACGTTTCTGACAGGAGGTGCGCATTCCACATGATCTCGCTGAGCTGACAGAGGTCGAGGTAGAGGACGCCATGGTTGGACGGGCGCAAGTGTTGCGACGATGGAAAATCGAACCCGAAATCCCGCCTCCCAAACTTGCCAACGAAGACACCACGCCATACCCGCAACACCCAACAGAAGCCGGAGGGCTTGAGTGTTGTGTGGCTGGAAACCATGCAGATTCTATTGTTAATGCTCTCTCTCTGTCATGTCTGGTGAGCTCCAAGGGCAGTTGCACGAAGCGTTGAAACATGGCCAAACAAACCCATGCAAGAATCCAGGATGTCACAGAAGATGGGTGCTTGGAAACCCTAAGTGCGCCCTTGCCGCCGCAAGTTCGGCTTTTGCTGTCAGACTGTCAGGAGCTGGGCCAAGGGTTGAAGTTTGGAAGCAAAGCTCGCCTCCGAGCCCTTTATCGAGGCCTCCGCGTCGGAGGTTCTGCATTTTTGGGAAGTCACGACAGCCGTGTCGGCTCCGTGGAACCCATGCCAAAAGCGGCCTTGGCTTTGCGCAGTGGAGAGCAGTTCTGCTTTGCAGGCTGTCGGCGGACTTCCTGACACTTCCTCTGGGTTCCCAGTTCACGACAAAGGGCGTGCAACAAGCGGAAGCAAAGGCTTCAAGAGCGCCTATGTCTGCAGCAGCAAAACTACTGCCACCTGTGGTTGCCCAAGCAGCAGCAAGAGCCGTCTATCTTATATCACTTCGGCAGTCTCTCTGACCTCCAGATTTCGTGTGTTCCACTTGATGCCATCTTTCGTTGCCCGAAGAAGCATGCAAGCCTGGAAAGTGCATTTTCGGAGGCAAAGCATCCGCGATTTGCGCGCTGAAGGCCGAGTCCTGCAAATGCTGCAAGAGAAGGTGTAGGTGTGTGTGTGTGTGTGTGGGTGTGTGTGTGTAAAATGCCTGTACATGCTTGTTTCCGTTTTGGTTATTGTGGGCCTGTCTTTGGCCTGCCTGCTATGGACAATTCTGCATTCACGTGTGAGCAGGAGTCAGTTATTTTGCATTCATCAGTGTCTTTGTTCATGTGTCCCCACATCATAGCTTTGTATATCGGCCCGTGGGCATGCAGAAGGCCTAAAGCCCAAAGCTGTGAGAGTCGAAGCCCGTAATTCTAGTGAAGCGACTTCGTGAAATGAGCCTCGCTGATATGCACATGCACATCGTCCGAACGGCTTATATGAAATAATCTTGGTGGTGCGAGTTGACATGGTTTTTGTGAATTTGGAGCGACTGGCTACCATGTCTACCATCTCCTTCAGCATACCTGGACTGCAGCTGTACGCAGATACTGGAGCCGCTGAGCAAAACAAAGCAGCAACTGTTGTCTGACGCCGTCTGACGCCCCTTGTTCCCTCAAGCTCCAACATGGGGCTGTAGCCGGGGGAGGAGGGACAGGGCCGGCTTGAGGATGAGCCAGCAAAGACTATGACAAGCATGCAACACAGCTCGTTGCCATAAAGCGACAGACCACAAAGCAAGCAGTACGTGTGCTGCAGGTGGGTGAAGGGGGGTGATCTTGGGACATGTGCTGAATTCGCACCGTGCCTGGCGCTGTGGCACCTCCAAAGGAGGTTCCAGTGCTGGAAAGGTTTCCAGCTGCCTGAGTAGTCGAGCAGGGCAGGTAGTGACTCAGCAAGAAACTGCAAGCGGTCGCTTCTGTTTTGAGATAATGTCACTCGGCAGCTGGAAGTGCAGTGGCCACGATGAACTTTGAGAACGAGCCCGAGGCCTCTTATCAGGCTTCTCGAACTGTGAAATCACGAGCTGGCTGCAGGTTGACTCGATATGGCACACTTCTCCAGATGATCATGACCATGACCATGAGGGAAGGAACCTCGGACCATTTCTGGGTTTTCCGTGGCTTTTCCATCTTATATCATAGTATGATAGTTGTTGACGGCCCTTGCTTTGAGAAGCAAGTAGCAGGAGGGTCTCTTACTCAGGCGTCGGTCGATGACATCGGCCGAGCATGCGCGACATACCCTGGAAGTCTTGATGGCGCAGGCTGAGGGGTCCGCACTACACAATTTAGACATTGGCTCCGATTCAATGCTCGCCGGTCTATGGTTGGATAAACTATCATCCTCAAGTGAACGCTTCGAAATCAAATCATGGACTCGCCAGACTCACCAAGGAAAGCGTGCAGGCAGCAGAAGTCTTCCAGCACATATAGGTTGAGCAAACACCTGGCACAGCCCGTGCATCTCAGGCCTTTGGACATGCTTGAACACGATTGCAGCAGGATGTCTTAGAATAGATGGGTTTGAGCATGTATCACGTTCTCTCTAAGCCATGCCTGTACTCGGGCACTTACTGTTGCTGCTCTACTTGCCGGCAGAGGGGCATGCATGCCTGGCAGAGTTCAGCGGCAACCCGCAATTCCACGAATATTCCGGATATGCCTTCAAAGTCGCGAGGAACGAGCCGATCCCTGAGTCGGTGCAGGAGTATTTCTACATGAAGAATGACCCTTATGTTGTGCAGCTAACCAAGTATGCCAGATGGACGCATCAAATGCTAATGGCATGCTGGTCCGTTGAAGGTCGTGTTTGGGAAGTCCGGCTACTTTTGAATGAATCGATGCGGGCTGCAGACGGCACGGCCGGTTTGCACACCGCCGTTTGTGCACCACGGAGCTGCAGGCCCCATCAGGTTCTGCAGCAGCTTGCAATCAAAGTCGTCACTCAGGACCTTGATGCCGTGGCTCCTACTCGTTTGCAGGGAGAAGTCCGGCCCCTGTCAAGCTGGAAATTCCTGAATCTCAGATTTGCCATTGTGGGCATGGGGGGCTGTGGCACCACTTCGCTGCAGAAGAACATCAAGCAGCATCCAGAACTTCGCTTCTCTCGCCAGGATGACCACGAAGAGACTCTGTTTGCGCCCGGCTATATTCATGAATATACCGGTGGCTTTAGAATGCTTCCCACAGAGACACAGGTCAACTACA